TAATTACTTCTTTTTATAATGTTTAATTTTTCTTAATGCTAAACTCGAGTTCATTACGATTAAGGCACAAATACTTAAATCGCGAATAATAATAAAAAAAGAAAAAAAAATTCGTTTCGACAAAAGAAAAACATGGAGTAAAATTTTTTTTTAATAATAATAATAATAATAACGTTATAAAATGCATTTATAATAATAATTCTTTGAAAATAATAATAATAATAAGGACAACTTTACTGACCTCCCCACCATTTATTTATCCGGTTTGTTTAATTTCCATGTGTTAAATGACACGGAATGAAAATTCGTTGATTTGATATCGCGTGCGGATTGTTAACAACAACAACAACAACAAACATTTTTTTTTTTTAAAAAATTAAATTTGTTATTATTCGCGCGTGTATTGTGAATTTTTTTTTTTTTGTTTAAATAATAATAATAAAATTTGAATGAATGATGTTAAATAAGATCCCCGGATTAACGGGGATCACAAAAATGTTTTTAAAATAAAAAAAAATAATAATAATAGGATTTTAAATGTGTTTGTTTGTTTGCGCCGATATAAATTGTTGTTTTTATTATTATTATTATTATTTGTTATTTTAAATAAAATGTGGAAGTGATTTTGTTTTAATTAAAAAAATATTAATAATAAAGTGTGTGAGAAGTGCCCGGGGGAAACGTCTCTCTCTCTCTCTCTCTCTCTCTCTCTCTCTCTCGTACAAATGGATTGGAATATTATCAAAGGTTAATAATATTTAATAATAATAATAATAATTTTTATTTATTTATTTTTAATAATAATAATAATAATATTTCATGCGCGCGTGTGCGTTTTATTAACCCATTTCTTGACTCGTATATTTTAACGAACGCTTTTTTTTATTATATTATTAATATTATTATTATTAGCGCAATTACGAAATCCATCATTCGAAATTTATCATTATTATTATCACTTATAAAAAATAATAATAATAATAATGAAAATTTTTGACGGCTAATCTTCGGTTATCGATTTTTGGTTCGAACAAAAAAAAAAAATTTTTAATTAAAAATTATTTTTATATGATTTTAAATTATTATTATTATTATTATTATTATCATCATCATCATCATCATAATTACTGTTATTAATATTACTATTGTCATTATTATTATTATTATTATTATTATCATTAGGTAAATTAATCATTTTGTTTAAAGGAGAGAAAAAAAACCAAAAAAGTTTCAGATCAGTTTAAATTGTGATACCTTTGTTGACGTCATAGGTTTGAAGTAAGGATAAAAAAATTTATCATTATTATTATTATTAAAAGTTTTTCTTCGAAAATTGAAAATTAAAAAAAAAAAAAAGAAAAACCAAAAATTGAGTCATTTAAAAGATTCATGAATCACGTGGAAAAATTCACAAAAAAAAAAAAAAACAATCATTATTATTATTAATGATATATATGATCATACCTGAAACCTGATGTGCGTGCGTAAGATATA